CTCGATCGTGCTCCTTAATTCTGTCTTCCTCTCCGATGTACACCTTGCCGCATTCACATAGAATCCTGTGAACTACGCCATCTTGTTTAGACGGGTCGACAACGTCTTTTGGTCGTACTTACTGAGATCTAAGCGTAGTCTCCGACTTTTGAAACAGCGCGTACGCCTTGTTGTTTTAGGCAACTGCGAAGCCGTTCAGACAGACCTTTGACATAAAATAAAACTGCACAAAACATGATGTCGCTATTCTTGGATTTTCGGTTATGGAGCAAGTTGTCTCAAAAACTTATTTACAACTTTTGCTATCTCTAAATTTGTTCACCTGTATCGAACTTCTGACAAGAACATGTGTGGTCAAGAATAAACAAAACATAACAATAAATGAAAACACTTGTAAAAATGTCTGAATTTAACAAAAAACACTATGTTGGCTGAATAAATTAGACTTTTACGACAGCATGATCTATCAATCAATAGCTTTTGGATATGTTTTATCAGTAAGTTTCTCATGTTGAGAGAAAATTTGCTGGTGTTTTACAAATCACACATTTGTGAGTTTCTTTCTGATTTTTTGTATTTTGCTCCGTTACTCGTAAGCAGTCGGCTCTTGAAGAAGCTGGGATATTAGAGAAGCAAGTTGCATGTAGACTCATGATTGATCCAAGATATTTCGAAATTCGAATACTTTACCTTGTAGTAGTGGAACTGAGACAATATCTGTAGGGTGTTCCTTTTCATAACACTTGGAACCCCGTCTGTAATGAAAATTTGCGAGTTTTTGCAATTTAAACTTTGAGAACATCTCTGCACTGGGCGATCGAAGGTTGTGATTGTCAGGTCGCGTGGATACAGGTAGTTTACCCAAATTTAAATAATTGTATATATTTGTAAGTTGACTGTTTATGAGACAAAACCCAATAGACAATAGGTTAGTGACACGCGACTTAAGACGCTTTAAGCATGTAATGCATTAAGGAGCAAGCTTAAAAATGCCTAAAAATTACTAGTTTACGTTGCGGGTAGAATGATAACTTGAAAGTTGTGGTCGCGATGGGGGGCGGGTGGGTGTTGATTTAAAACCATCTTAGCGGCACACGCGTTTAATTTTGAAATTTTCGTCAATAATCGTGAAATGATGGTTGATAATCCATAAAGCAAAACCGCGTGGACTGTTTAGCGGAATCGAAATATTTGCATTTACTAAGTTGTTGGTTGACGTTTAAGGAGACAAAGCCTAAGGGGCAATAGTTAATAACACTCTCATTTTAAAGACGCCTTTAGCATTGCAAAGTGTGAGGGTAAAAGTTCATTCTTTGTGATTTAGTGGTTTTCTTAATTTGTGGGTAGGAGAATTTTTTTGAACTTGATGAGCACATTGTTTTTCGCGTTCTCGTCTGTCGCTTTGCGCGCGAAACGAAGGATATATATGTGCTTTCAAACTATCTGGGCCCTGTCCGAAAAGCGACATCACTCAAACGTAAAAAGGTGTGAAATCACACTTCTTTGTTCCTGAGGCTTGACAACAACAGCGTTGTTTCTTTTACATTCCTTGCGTCGGTGGTTAAATAAAGACATGCACGCAGTTTTCTTCGTCATCATTAAAAATTTGCGAACTGGAGCCGACTAAACCCGTGTCTAAGTTTGCGTCACCGGATAAAAAATCCCTTAGGACAGATAACAATAACTTCATTGCCTTAAAAAATCCGAACCAAAACAATGGGCGAAGTTTTACATGTACCTGCCATGCCAGTACATCTTTTAACATTGAAGTCAAACACCTGCCCTCCATCATCATCTGTTTCCTGTTGTTCCGCCATGGGGCCATGGCAAGGCACAAGCGCTAACCCTTATCTCTCTTTGTCATCATTTGTATTTCCGTCCCCGTCGTCGGGTTGTTCAAACGATCTGCGCTTTTACCATCATGATGTGGCCGAAAACAACGGTAGATTCTTAATTTATGGAACGCTCACAAGACGTGCTATGATACACTGCCATTGCATTCACGATCCTTTTACCACGGATGATCATAGATAGTTCCCCGACCACATCTTTTCGTCAGCTAATCAGGACGCATTTAAAAAAATTCATATATCGGCTTGGTACAAGCACCAATAATGATTTTGGCAGATAATCTATTTTATTCGAAACCGGAATTATGGATCACTTGGCTGCAAGTAAGGTTAGTTTTGAAATATTGGCTAGTAGGTGGTCGCGCAGTGTTAATTGCTCTAGATTAAAAGACACACGTCTAAAGAAAAGTCGAATACCTGGTTTCGTAGGTAGTCGGAAAAAATTAATGCATAATACGCGACAGTCGGTACGAAATCGTAATTCTCTTGAACCCTACCGGGGTAACATGTCATGTCAATTCTCCATAAAGCTGGTACAATGTAATAATGCTACGCTTAGTCTCAGATAATAAAGACTGTAATTAAAAAATTTCGTACCCTCTTATATCCACGTCACTTGTTTTTTTATTTTGCTAAAACCTTATCTGCAATAACCCGTTACCTGGCCTAAAGCTTTTCGAATTTCTAATTCTCGCAAAATTAAGCATTTTTTGCTGTCGCATGAAATATGCCGTGGGGAACATATTGGGATGTAGAAACATATCAAAACCAATTTAGCTCTTTTTTGTTGGGAAGTAATATTTACATTATTTCCTCGAGGGTCTTTTGAAAGCTTAATATCAAATCGCATGCATGTTGTACTATTTTGAAAACAAGGACAATTTCGCGTCGTTTTAATCTTAGATCATTTTGAATGGTTGTATTAAAATTCGTGTTAGGGAAACCACGATGCATTACTTGATATTAAACCTTGCAGATGACACTGGGAACTGACGGAGTGCTTTCCTACCATAAAAGATTATTTAGTTCGACAAGCGGGGGAAAAAACGAATCTGTTGATGAATTTGCATATGAGCTCCTCCAGATGGTTCGGCAGTGTCAACGCAAAAATTGAAGTGAAGACCAACTTTGATGCGATTTGGTTCCAAGAGGAACAGGTCTGTAATATGTTTTTTCTTAATTTTGAAAAATATCGGTGGGCTCTTGGTTTTTCGTAATCATGAAAGAGGTGCCAAGTTAACTGTTTACAAATATTTCCCCATGATGAAATAAGTTGATGTTTCAGGACGACGGAGTTGTGACATGTCACCGCTGAACTTTTAGATTAATTTGTGTTATGGAAGACTCGTTTGGTCCGTTTGTCATAAAGTGCGGTCTAGTGAGAATTATTTATATGCATTGTAACTGCTCGAAGTAGCAACAAAATATCAGCCGTAGAATTGTGCTTTGGTGCTTTATCACCAATTTACATGCATTTGCATATCTTATTTTTTGATAAATATTGATAGAACACGGAGGTTAAGAACTTCATTTTTATAAACTGTATACTTGATGGAATCCAGGAAACCTTTTCAGTCACTGTGATGTTGGATGTTTTGCAGTGACACGTGAGAGTCGTTAAGGGCTTGAAAA